GTGCCCTGAAGTCCCTCTTCATTGCTTTAGGACTTCTCTGTGTAATCTCACTTCTGCTGCAGCCCTTTGTAGAATTACTTCTGACTTTCTAGGCACTTTTCCTAGTTTAAAAAAGGGCTGGTGTGTTGCACTGAGGACTGTAAGCATTTACTGTAGCACTAGTTCTCTTCTAAATGATGCTCAGCTGTCCTTGTATTGCTTCCCTTCTCCTAGGTGCAATCACTCTAAGCTTATCACCAGGCCTCTCTTAAATGGTCAAATGGGTGGTGTTCATGGACTGGATAGAGAGATGCATCCATTTAAAACTTAACTGCACTCTTGTAAGGGTGTTAACAAGTATCTAGCTGTTAAGATAGCCTGATACCCTGCAGTTGCCATTGAAAACTGAAGATCTGCATTAGATAAAGGAATTCCGAAAGCTTTGTAAAGGATGGACATTTTGTAATTAGAAAATTGAAATTTGTTGCTTGCTGCATGTTTGTTTTAGAGCCACACTCTGCCACTTCCAATTCCACAGCCTGTCTGGACCTCTAGGGCTGCCTGTGACCCATCTTTCCTTACGTCTTGCTGTGGGCTTTAGTGTTTTTAGCACCTCAAAAGCTTCTGTTGTAGAAGAGTTTCGGCTTTGATGCCCCAAATGCTGAATCCAGAAGTTCCATCTGATGCAATGAGGAAGTAAGCAGTGACCTGTCCCAGTCCAGCCTGCTAGGGAAGCAAGGCTAAATAAAAGAAGATGAGCGTGAGCCTGGTGGGAGGAACAAGTCAGAGAAGGCAAACAGTTTGCTGCCTTTAGCTTGCTGGTAGCTTTCATCAGAGCTGGCTGAGGAGGGGGAGGCGGAGAACTGCCTGTGTGAAGGGAAGGAAGTGACAGCGTAGTCATTAGCAGACTGCGACCCTCTGTCACAGGGGCTCCTGAAATAAACGATGATTGTATTGAAGCATGAGGCTGGATAGAGACCTCTGTGCTAATTTAATAAATTGCTTGCATTTAGGACCCCAGATTGTTGCTGTTACATTTTTGCTATGTGATGCCACCTGGGATTAACAAGGAGGAGGGGATGGGGGGAGAGGAAGAAAGCAGCCCAGGTCCGTTAGCAACCGCTGCTGTGACCTCACTCCTTGTCCCGGGGGGGATATGAGATCATGAGAATGCCAGAGCTCTCTGAAGGATTCGATTTGTTCAGTACAACAGGATGGCCTGCCGAGTGATCTCATCTCTGAGACCCTAGGGAAGGACGCTAGCTGCTGCTAGCCTTGTGGACTGCAGAGGACTTAATCCCTGCTCCAAATCTCACCAATTAACGATTGACCTGTGATGACATCACTGATGACAAAGCTAACTGGGACAACACAGCAAAATTCCAGGGGAATTTCCCCTTCTCTGTGATCTTATCAAATAAAAGAATTTTGACATGTCAAAACCAAATCTTTCAGTCCAGATAATGTCACTGCAGATTAAGCATAGCTCTGGGCTCACAGCTTGCACTGACCTAGTGCCCTGTCACCAGTTCTCCCTTTTAAACAGTGTGGGACAGAACATAAACAGGCCCTCATTAAGACTGGGTGGCCCTAAGTTAGATAGCCTTATTTAGCCAGCTTCTTAGCCTTATTCCTAGGTGCTTTAAAAGAGAAGTTATGTGGTAAGAAAAACCCATGTCCATTGTTGCACCTCATGGTCGTAGTAAGCCAGGAGGGAGTTTATGTTACCTTGCAGGTGTCCTTAAAGGAAGGAAAGCTTTCTAATTGGAGTAAACACCAGAATGGCAAGGACAGCTTTGGTGAAGGTTTACAAGGATGTTGCCCAGTCTTTGAGTCTCTTTTGAGAGAGAAGTGTTTCAGCCAGCATGCTTCCCTCCTCCCCCCCTTTTCTTCCTTCAGGTCCTCAGGAAGATTTGGTATCTCCCAGTGTAAAATGCCTTGAGGGTTTTTTTCAGAGCCAGTCTTTTTATCTGTGTACTGTACAAGATCCAACACACACCCGAGTGGAAGGGGAAGGATGCTAGCAAATACGTAATTAATTTGATTCTTTGGGATGATCTAGAAAGTTGTCAAGAAGACCAATGTCACCTTATATTTAAATCTCTGTACCTTCAGAAGGGGGTATAGGATCAAAGAGACTTACTGTGCATTCCTTTTCTCATTATTAATAGGATCTACAATTTACATCATATTCATCCCTGTAAGTCTTAACTCCTGCTGCTGGCGTTGTGTAGCATTGCATAGATATACAATAATATCCATATATATCCAGTATATCCATAACCTGCTCTAAAAGTTTAAGATTCAAAAGTGTAGAATAGCTGGATAAATGACAGACCAAGAGGAACACAAAGAAACAATAAAGTGATAGTTATCCTCTCTAGGCACTGAGTTAAATGGCTGCAAAGAAAGCTGCATTCATGAATACTGGTCTTTGCACCATTTGTCAGAATGTGTAGGTGGACAGTGAACACAAGTCCTATAAGCTTCAAGCCCTGCACCTGTTAAGTGTTTTTCTTTTGACTTCCTGACAGTAATCATGTATCACTTGTTTGTTTTACAGGGAAAGTTTTATCTGGTTATTGAGGAGCTGAGCCAGCTGTTCCGCTCCCTTGTCCCCATCCAGCTGTGGTATAAATACATCATGGGAGATGATCCATCCAGCAGCTACTTCCTAGGTGGGATCCTGATCATCCTGTATAGTCTCTGCAAGGCGAGTACCACCTCATTAATAACCTCTATGGGAGCTGTAGCAAGAGCAGAGAAAGAAGCACAGCTGAGGGGAACAAATATACCTTTTGATTGTTGCTATCACTACCCAGGAAGGGAAGCTGCAGCAGCTGGGGACATCACGTGCTTTAGTTGCCAAAAGCATTTTGCTTCACCAGTATGTGGGCATTGGTGAGCTAGAGGAAGATCTGTCACTGCTCATGTAGTGTTGCATCAGGCTGATGAAGTCATTGCTGCTTTGTAATATCTTTCTATAAAGGCTAGAGGAGAATGGGAATGGAGTCTTGGGGAACCAGTACTGGAAAAGAGGTTAGCTGTCTCCAGACTTCTAGATGCAACACTGAAAAGAAGGTTGCAGACAGTCAAATGTTTCTCTCTAAGCTTTCCTCTGTCTTTCAAGGCAGGGTAGGTACTCTGTTACAGTACTGAATGCAACAAGGAGAAAGAGGGTTATCCAAGTCCTGCCTAGATAAAACAGGTAGTTCTGGCCCCATTCTAGGTCCTGGTCTGGCTGATACAAGTCAGGACGTCAGTGATGGACAAGAGTAATTAATGTTTCCTCAAAAATAAGAATGTTAAGAGCACAAAGTCTGCCTGTACAATTGTAAATGAATAGGTATGACTTATTTAGAAGAGTCCCAAGTCTGAGGTCTGGAAATAATTGTATTTCTACTTGTGTGTATTGAACCCTGCCTCAGGGCAGAGCAGTAGCTGAAGGAAACAATGGTACACCTGTGTTATCCATCCCTCTGAGGAAGGCCAAGTGAATCTAGCTTGCTGCAGCCCTGATGCTTGTCTCTGCCTAGGAGAAAGGGGCTATGGCTTTGTAGAAGCAGACTGAAGAAGAGAGAATATATCTGAGCTGAAAATAGCTCAGAGGGGCTAATGGATTGCTGAGCAACACAAAATCATACTACAGCTCTTATGTGAGATATGGCTGCAGTTGCATCTATATGTTGTATAGGAATGGGGCAATGCAAACCTCGCTGTCAAGGAATTTACCATTTTTATAGGCAAGATAGGCAGAGGAGGTCATGGGAAGTGACGTGACTCGGTCACAGCAGGTCTGTGATCAAGCCAGAAACAGAGCAAACAGTGCCAGAATAGCAGGCATGCGAGACCAGTGTAGTTCCCTGCACACCCATCCACTGCCTCAGCTGTATGTTTCCTGCTCTTCACTCTGTCCTGTGGGAGAGGGTTGTTGTCCCTTTCAAAGATGTCATTGTCTGGTTCCACTCTAGACAACAGTATCCAACCCTTCCATGCCCTTCTGACTTGTGAGGTCAGGTACACAGATCACAATTACAAGGACAGATTTCAGGTGATCTGTCTGGTGTCCCTTCTTCAAAGATCACTCAACACCTGGAGAAGGGGTGCTTACCTGCAGTTCTATATGCCATTTCTTACATCTGGAGAAGTCATCTTAGTGTGAAGAAGCAGTGGGGGCCATCTGCTCCCTGGAGAAAGGGGAGTCAAGCACAAAAACACAGCTGGCAGGGCAAGGGCCTCACCAGCCAGGGCCCAGCCCCACAGCACCCAAACAAGGCAAGCAGGGCAGGCCTGGAGGTGATAGACAGGTTCAAAGAGTCGAGATCTTCAGGTGGTGAGGCAGGTCCAAGACAAAGCCAGAATATCAAGCTACAGGTCAGGATCAGGTCTGGTGAAGGCAGCCAGAGTCAGACACAGTCCAGCAATTTTAGGGCATAGCCATAGTGATGAGACAGGCTCAAGGTGAGGGTGGGAGGTCACTCCGTATGCTGGGGTGTCCAGATCAGTGGGATCTGTAGCTAGGCACAGGCATGGCTATGGCGGTGGCTGAGCTGGAAGCTAGCACCTGCACAGCACAGCTCAGACATGAGCTGAGACCTCCAGGGCTGAGCAACAGACCTCCTGGGCCCATGGGCAGGGTCTGTGGGTGGAGACCCCAGGTGAGGCTCATCAGGGCCATGGAGGCCTGTTAATGCACTCAGGGCCCTGACACATAGGTGCAAGCAGTTCTTTATGGGCTAGCTTGACGTTTCTCTACTATGAAGCCTTTATAGTGTTGTGATAATCCAGATTGGAAAAGCAACCTCATTTTGAAAAGTTCTGCTGATCTGTTACCTAGAAGCTCCACGAGGAGCAAAGGACAGCTATTTACTGGCCTTGACTATGACTTAGGACCAGGTCTGCGGGGCAGACTTGTGTGAAAGTTCCTTGGCTACAGCCTGTGCCTTTAACATGCATGTTTCTTCCTTTAATTCATCTAGTTCATCAGAGGTGTAAATGGATGGATAGGCCAGCTGAAGGGTGATAGGTCCAGGAACGTGTCACAGGTCATTGTGCGGCAACTACTTATTACCACAGATGTGTCCACTTCAGGATTAGACATCTGCATGTTAGAGACTTTGCTTAGAAGTGAGAGAAAAGTAGGCGCACACTCTTCCAATAGAGATCTTGAAATACTAGGTGTGTGCATCCCATTTACAATCACAAGAGTTGCAGGTCTAATTCCTTGCCTGAGACACTGAAAATATACCCAAAGGAGTCCACATTAGCAAAGCCACAAACCACATTAGAAAAACCACAGAAGCCAATTTGGCACTCAGACCTTCTGTGCTCCTGGCAAAAATCCAGGGCTCAGCTAGGGCTGCATCCCCTTTCC